TATATATATATATATATATATATATATATATATATATATGTGTGTGTGTGTGTGTGTGTGTGTGTGTGTTATTAACATGGATATCCAACCTGCTATGCAAGCCGACTAATCCCAGGACGACAACCTGCTTTGCAGATAGCCTAGAGTCACCGCATTTGAACCTCCGTGGCCACAAGAGGATTTTTATTCCTCCTTGGATTTGAACTTGTGTAATATTATTATATATTATTCTTAACGAACTTATATAAGGGGGTGATTCATACATTGAAAATATAAAAATTAAGTATTCATGTCTATATATGTGAGAAGAAAAGTGATATGTAGGAATGCATTTATCAATATACATTAGACATTTAGGAAGTGTTTGGAATTGCTTATTTGAAACAACTTATGGTTTTCTACAAAAGCACTTATCAACTTATTATAAGTCAGAAAGGTTTAACTTTTTCAAAAACTTTTTATTACCGGTTTGACACCGGTATAAATTGTTTATCCGAACACTCAAAAATGCTTATTACCGATGTTACACTGAAATAAGTCAATAAGTTGTTCTTATAAGCAATCCCAAACACCCCTTGGTCTATCCTTTTATTATAAAATCGGAATGGAACCAAACATTATCCAATTTATGTAACCGAAATTGAACCAAACATTATCCAATTTATCGCATTAGAAAGTACATGGTATGGACTTTAAAAATAGAACATAATACATGTATTTCTTCTGCATCAAACAAATACGAGGTTGTTTTTTGTGAAAAACTCCAATTTGTAAGGAAGTTTTGGAGAGACAAGATAGCGATATAAAATTTATCTATTTTTTAATGAAGTTGTGAGGATTAACAAATACACCAAAGAACATATATATAATGGAGAGAATCAAACAAGAACATGTCAGATAAAAATAAAGGACACATGAGAAAGGCCAAATTTAATGGGATTTTGCACTGGAACAACATGCTATTACGAATAACAGTCGATACAAGGGTGTACGGTTGAATGTGACACGTAATCACATGTGATTTTACACATGATGTTAGTGTAAAATCACATGTGATTTCACGTATTTTTTATTTGATAATTGTTCTCGTTTGAACCTTTATGTTTCTCTTTCTTAACACACACACACACGTTGTTTCTTCTCTATAATGTTTAAAACTTTGCATCTTAGGTACCAAAATAAAAGTTTTGAAAGTACGTTACCCAAAATAAGAATCAAGTTAAAGTTTTTTACTTGATTCCTCATCGTTGTTTGTTCTCTATAATGTCCATTACCGCTGTTCGCCCCTGACATTAATCTCTCTTTTATTGATCTATCTTTTCCATTCTCTCTATTTACAACAATTTAATGGAACACATATGGACATATCAAAAAACATGGAGGATCAAAAAGCAAAAACAAAAAATTAAAAAGATTGATATTGGTTGCAGAATGCAGACTTGCAGGAGCAACAACAGTGATGGACGATAATAGAGAGCAAACAACGATGAGGCGACGAGGGTTTGGATAACATAGGATTAAGAACGGTAAAATTGATTTAAATTTTTTTTTACTTTAAATTGCGAGTCGGTTAATAAATTATAATATGTTTTATTGATACACGACTTAATGAAAAAACCAACCGAATCACCCTACATCTTTAATACACCTAATAAAACATATTTTAATTTATAAAATAGAAAGTATTTCTTAATTTTATATAAAAATAAAATGCGTTTTATTTTGTGATATAGTTTATGTTTTTTTTTAAATTCTTTTTTTTTTAAAGTATATATATAATATTTATATACGGTAAATGCAAAAAATAAACTCACATATCTTTTTCACTTATGATGAGGTTTGAACTCCTGACCTCCTAAAAAGCTAAAGACTATGATAGTGCTAGACCAAAAGTTTTTTGATAAAATTCTTTGTGTTTTATTAAAAGAAAAAAGTGGAAAGAAGCAGGTAGAGGGGAAAGAAAGGTGGGTCACATGGGGAAAGTCTCCAAAGTAATGGGACCATGTGACTGCCAGAATCCCTGACCCAAAGGAAATCAAGAACACCATACGTTTTAATGACACCATATCACATGTACAAGTGGAAATCAAACACCACCCCTCTCATGTTACTGACTCTATTCCACACGTTTTTAAGATTTATCGAGATGCATGTAAGTTGATCCACACTTTTATGATTAACGAAAAAAATGGAAATCAAAGACCCTCTCATGTTATTGGTTTGAGAATTTTTCTGACTGTATTCAGGGACAGACCCAAATTTTTTTTTATCCAAATGGTAGCACCATTTGACTATAAGAAAAAACTATAGAGAAAATATTTCAAATAGTGGCATCGTTTGACTATAAGAAACAAATATACATAATTTTTTTTTCAATCGGTGACACTATTTGACTAAGAAAATGATACTAACAAGATTCGAACTTGCGTCTGAAGTGGAATAAAAGTCTTGCAAACCAACTCTACCAAATAAAACTTGTTCTCATTGTACACACAACAAATTAATACGGTTGCATATTTCACGAACATAATTTTTTTTACCCTTCGACAGAGGAATAATACGGTGACACATGCCACCGTAACCACCATGGTAGGTCCGTCCAGGGTATTCCACACGTTCTTAAGATTTATCGAGATGAATGTAAGCTGGTCCACACTTTTAAGGCCAAGGGCGGATTCACCATGTAAAAGGTGGGGGGAAGGGCCCCCATTAAAAAAAATGAATTTTTTAAGGTTAAAAATTGTTTTTTTTTTTTTTACTTTCTACCAAGGTTCTCCTCCGTAATTTTTGTTAGGGCTCCCACCAACTAAAGAAAGTATCTTGAAATCAACCAAAAAACTGAAAAGTTCCTCGAAATCGATAAGAAAACCTTAAAAAATCCCTCGAAATAATTCAAAAAAACCTCAAAAATCTCTTGGAATAATGGAATTAGGCTTAAAACATATCGGACGACTTGGTAGGCGTTTAAGCTACCTTAAAAATGCCCCCAGTAGACCAAAATCCTGGATCCGCCACTGTTTATGGTTAACGAAAAAAAGTCGAAATCAGATATTCCACAAGAAAATTTATAATTAAAAGTTTGAAATATATCATTAAATTATAGTGATGTCAAAACAGATTATTACTTTGTTATAATATTGACGTCACTTGGCTAAAATGGGGGAAACATATCATAAAAATATAATATTTTTGTGGTCAGAATAAAAACTAGGAAGGAACACATCATCGTCGTAGGAGAGACTGATGATGTTGGAAAGCGGGCAACGCAGAAGGGGCTGTCAAAGGGGAGAAGGACCCACGACGAATATGTGGGAGTGGGAGGGGGTGGCGGTGGCGGTGGTAGTGGGGCAACGATCAATAGGGGTGGTTGTTGTCAGTGGGGTACGGTGTGTTTATGACTTGTATTATACAGGTTTTAATGTATCAGTTTTACATTCAAAATTTAAAATTAAATCTACGTTTTTTGAATAAAAATATAATCATAAATCTTAGGTTAATTTTTTGTCGTGACGACTTTTAAATTTAAAATTGATTAAAGGGTATAATGGTCTATTTCATCATTTTTTATATAACTTTGGTTAGATTTGATATAAACAACACTTTTTGCTGTTGTAAAGTTGGATAACTTTTTTGAACCTTTCTATAATTAGTGGTGACCTACACGAAACTTTTGCATATGTCGTGTAACCTTTTGTAAAGCGTTTTACGGATCTCAGTTATTTGATAGTTTCATCATTTTTCATATGGTTATGTTATTTGAATACCACTAAAAAATCGGCCCATCAATAATCATCATCGATTTGACTTGTATCTCGTATCATTGATCCTACTTTTTGGTCAATAAACGTTAATAAAACATCATTTTAAAGAAGTTGAATGGTCTTGTATTTACCTCAAACAAACATGAGACAGCCCGTATTCAAAGGGCGCCTATATTGACCATTTTTTAAGCTCGTCTAATCCTCAATCTTTTTTTAACTCAAAAAGCAAATTTCATAGACGTAAAAAGACATAAAACAGAATCAATGTTATCGTCATAAAATCATAATGGCAGATGATACATTGGAAGAACGTGAACGGATCTTCAAACGCTTTGATGAAAATGGCGATGGGAAAGTCTCTGCAACCGAGCTTGGGGAAAACTTGATCAAGACGTTGGGCTCCGTGTCAACCGAGGAAGTAAACCGTTTGATGGCGAAACTTGATACAGATGGAGATGGGTGCATTTCGTTTCAAGAGTTTACTGATTTTTACAACGCCAATAGGAAATTGATGAAGGAAGTTGCCAAGATCATCTAAAGATCTTTTTGACATTCAACATCTCTCTTACATTACAATTGTTTTAAAATTTTCACGTATAGTATTTTTATCTGGTCGATCGTTAAAAACGTGTAATTTTTTTTGTCATGTTTTAAGAATCGAAAAACAAATCATACTTGATTTTCGTTTGTCCTATATCTATTTTATTGTTCGTATTTTTAAATACGTATGCATTTAAGTTTACTAGAAACGTACCCGCACAATGCAGTGAGATACATCTCGATTTAATGTTTTATTGTTGGGAAAATGACAAAACTAACCACTTTATACAATTTTCTTACACAAAATAACCAGTTTTTAGGGGTTTTACAAAACTAACCACACAGATCTCCCCCGGGGGCGATCCGACCTTTTTCTTAGAAAAAAATTTTAAAATTTTCTTTTTATCCACTTGGGGCGAGCCACGTCATCGGATCGCCTCCGGGGGCGATCCAGGCTTTAAGTAATTTTTTTTTAACTTTTTTTCTTTTTTTTGTAATACCAATTTCACTATAAATATCAACCTCCTATTTCATAATTTTTCACACATTTCCTTTCATTTCTCTTCTCATATATTATACTCTCACAACCTTTAACCTATTAAACACAATCAACCATCACAAAAAATGAAATCACGTAAAAGTGATGATGTTTGTGTGTATCTTCGAAGTGGCGGTTAAACCGTACGCATATATACATTAAAAATACGTACGTAAAACATACGTGAATATACGTAAATATGCGTACATGTTAAAACTCGTACACATATACACGTTAAAATACGAATTTTCAATTTTTGTACCGTTTATATCGCTTTTTTTATGTAATGCATCTATATATATATATATATRTATATATATATATATATGTTACCGCAATTTATATCGCTTTTTTTTTACGTTATGCATCTCTATATAGATATACGTTACCGCAATTTATATCGTTTTTTTACGTTATGCATCTATATATATATATATATATATATATACGTTACCGCAATTTATATCGTTTTTTTACATTATGCATCTCTCTCTCTCTCTCTATCGTAAATGTAAGTAGGTATATATATACGTATATACATATGTACACATATATACGTACATACATACGTGAAGATACGTAAATATGCATGCGGGTTTTAACCCGTACACATATGTACGTATAAAATACGTACATAAAACGTACATGAAGATACGTAAATATGCGTATGGGTTAAACCCGTACGCATATATACGTTAAAAATACGTACGTAAAGAAATATGCGTACGTGTTAAAACTCGTACGCATATATACGTATAAAATACGAAGTTTCAATTTTTGTACCGTTTATATCATTTTTTTACGTAATGCATCTCTATATATATAAATGTTACCGCCACTTCGAATATACATACAAACATTATCACTTTGACGTGATTTCATGTTTTGTGATGGTTTATTGTGTTTAATGGGTTAAGTGTTGTGAGAGTAGAATATATGAGAAGAGAAATGAAAGGGAATGTGTGAAAAATTATGAAATAGGAGGTTGGTATTTATAGTGAAATTGGTATTACAAAAAAAAATTAGAAAAAAAATACTTAAAGCCTGGATCGCCCCCGGGGGAGATCCGATGACGTGGCTTGCCCCAAGTGGAAAAAAAGAAATTTAAAAAAAAAATCTAAGAAAAAGGCCGGATCGCCCCCGGGGGAGATCCGTGTGGTTAGTTTTGTAAAACACCTAAAAACTAGTTATTTTGTGTAAGAGGGTTGTATAAAATGGTTAGTTTTGTCATTTTCTCGTTATTGTTTTGTCTCAGTCGATGTTATAATACGGTTTTATGTGGTTTTGAGAAAACCGATAATGTTTTTATTTTTAAATAAAATATAAATATGAAGATTATCATTAAAAAAATTGAAAAAAAAAACAATATTGATATTAGTACTAAACTAACTATTTAATTTTTTTTTTTTTTTTTGTGTATTTTTTTAATTCTTCTTTTATTTTTATTTAATAATATAAATTTTATAAAGATAATAATCAAGTATTTTTGTTAGAAGTCAACGGTTATCCTAATTATATTTTATATTTTTTATATTTAAAATGAAATATTTATCCGTTATTTGATTATTTTTATCTGCAGTTAGTTACATGAATTTAAACATGAAGCTTTATTAAGTTGTACTTACGCACACTTTACTTGTAATCTTGAATTTTAGATAATATGCATCAATAAACAATACTTCATGCATAATAAATGATTTTTAAGAGTTTTTGTCAAATGTTTTTTTAATATAGTATAGATAATGTTTCTTCTTGCAACATGTTCATCATCTATTTATTTCCATTTTTATAAAAAAAATGTCAGAATGACCGGGAAAAAACTAATTACTGATACAATTATAGAATCGCAACAATCGAAACTGGGCGAGGTGGTTCCCCATATTCATCTAACGCCTTTCATCTGCATCCTATATGAACTATACGCCTTATACCAACTTCTCAGTTATCATGTGTCCATCCTACTCTAGAATTTGTCGTTTAATCGAAAAATCGAATTTAGTTGGTATATATTTACATTTTATCTTTACCCGTTACTCCACCTGTCCAGTTTTTTGTTAGATCAAATTAGTCCCAATATGACCCATATTAAGACAAAATTACGTATGGAACAGTTTATATAAAGTGTGAGAAGAATAAAATACTGATAAAAATTAGATAATAAATAAACGAGGTATTTTGTAAAAAATAATATACCTGTATATACATAATATACAAATAAAGACAAAAAGCATAGAACCCCAAATTCATTTTGAATTCAAAATTGGTTATAAAAACTCGACTTTATACACGTCTTGTTTGACGTTTTATCGACACCTCAAATACGTTATTGTAGAGTGATTTCAACTGATCAAAACACATGAAGAAGAAATATAAAATCCGAGATTGGAGCCTCTGGAACAGACGGGAACGCAATATACTGGAAACTCTTTTATCTTAACAACTCAAGCTTCATAACACCACTGTTCGGTTTGACTCGATTGAAATTTTGAAGTCAAGCGGAGCCTTCCGCACATACTTTTTTTCCGAGCCAAACGTGTGCACATTGTTTGTAACTCATACAATCAAAATATGAAGTTATCCAGCTCGTGTAAATAAATGAGCTTATAACGTTCGAGCCATGTTTGGTATATGTTAAAAAAATTTAAAAAAAAGCGAGGCATAGTTTAGGAATATTTATTGGGAAACGTTACGTCATCAAGTGAGCGTGCCGGAGTGGTTATCGGGCATGACTAGAAATCATGTGGGCTTTGCCCGCGCAGGTTCGAATCCTGCCGCTCACGTTTTTTTCTATTACTTCTTATTTTTCAGGAAAAACGAGAAAATAAAAATAATGTTTTCAAACTATAAGGATGGATATCGTAATTTCAAAAGTACAGGGACGAAAATAGTAATTTTTAACAAATCTGAGGGACGGAAAACGTAATTAACTAAAATGAAAATATTCGCTAGAAGGAGGGGTTGAACCTCCGACCTTGTGGTTAACAGCCACACGCTCTAACCAACTGAGCTATTCCAGCTTTGTTATCAACTTGAGTATCTACTTATATATAAAAATACAGCATATTTATATCTCAAAGGGTATTTTAGTAACTTCACATATGATAAAATAGTTTATATCTATAGGTTTCTACTTTTATGGAATATAATATTGGAAGAAAGATAATTAAGACTAAGGGGCCGTTTATTAAACACTTACCCGGTAAGCATCTAGCGGAAAATTCAACACTATCATTTACTTACCGGGTAAGATTTTAGTCAACGAAAAACGGCTTTCTATGCAAAGAATTACCCGGTAAGAGCTGACCGTGGTAAGAGTCACTGCCCTCACTTACCGGGTAAGACTCTAGGTCCTTGCCTCGCTCTTACCGGATAAGATTCATAGTCCTTTCCATGTTCATTCGATAAGGTAATATAACTTGGTAAGCGCTTACCCAAGTAAGCATTTGGTAAACGGCCCCTAAGTTGTGTTTGGATGGTGCACTTAGGGGCCATTTACTTAAATGCCTACCGTTATGAGTCAACACTATAATTTATTTTACCGAGTAAGATTGTAGTACATCAAAATGGTATCGTATACAACAATTTACCCGGTAAGCACTTACCCGAGTAAGAGTCGTCACCCTCACTTACCGAATATGACTCTTCATCTTTATCATTGTTCTTATCGGGTAAGATTTTTGACCCTTGTCATGTTCATCCGGTAAGGAAAGATATCCAGTAAGCACTTTCTGGATAAGTGTTTAGTAAACGGACCCTTAGTTTGAACGTGTAATTAGGAAAGAACTAAATTTGTTATTTACTGAATTTTGGGAAATGATGCTTTGAAGAAAGAAGTTGGTAGACGTTGAATATGTAGTAAGGAGATGAAGTATCTTTAACATCTGTAATATTCATGTCTACTGTTTACAGGAATACATGGAGGTAAAATTATATATAACTTATGAAATAACTCTGCTAGATTATCTTTGTCACCTTGGATTCTTCGTCGCAATTATATCCTGCCTACTTCTATAAGATAATCAATTAAAACCCTCTCGCTCTCTCTATACATACGTGTATTCATGTATGCAAGTTAGTACGTGTTTCGATTCATGATGACTTTTCCGTTGGTTATGAATTGTCATCGGGAGATGACGCGTGTGCACATTAATACATGAACGTGTGTATGTATATACCTTGTGTGACAACTCGTCTCACATTGATGGAAATATGGTTTGTAGGTTCCTTATAAGCATCAAGTTGTAAGCTATCAGTAATTTTCCACCATGGTCTTAAGTTGAATTCGAAGTTATTGAGTTAATCTGTTGCTTTGAGCTTTGGAGTGTCATAAATGATATCAAAGCTTATCTTTATACTATTGGGATGGTAGGGCAAACCTCACCAGGTATGATGAGTCATCAGGGGGGTGTTTGTAACATTTTAGGCGAATTGCACATTGCCAATAACAAGGAGTAAGATTCTGGACAGGTCCGACGAATACGTCAGGAGTTTAAGTTGGTGTTACAAAAATTAAATAGAATTAAGTTAAAATTCAAAGCTTTTGTTTGGTTTGCAAAATATACATTTGAAATTGTAATACGAACAACAATTTTTTTGTTTGGTTTATAAATACATATTTGAAAGAGAATTATAAATAATTTTTTTTAAATTACTATTTATTATTTATAATAATAATAATAATTAAGCGAAGAGTATTTTTCTTGAAATAATATGTATATACATGTTATATGCTTATATGCAATTCTCATTTTTAATAAGGTTTAAATCCTTAACATTTTTAGAGACTATACTCTAATGATAACATAGTTTGTATGTCCACAATTACTGATCAATCTTCATAATCTTCATAATCATACATGGCAGATTCAAGATAATCATCCAAGAACATCAAGAACACTTGAGAGAGAAAGTCAATGCATGTAAGCTCAGTCAAACCCTCAATTATCAATGTATATTACAATTAGCTCACATCACCTAATTACAAAGATTACCACCTATTTATATGATCAACATATTAATACAAAGTCAAAGTCAAACTAGTCTATGAAAGTCAAACACGCTGACTTTACAATTATAGACTAAAATTAATCTTTCAAGACGAATACAATTAATACTGATTTTTTAGTACTAACATAGTTACACATATACCGTTGCATCAATAATCTTTTGATTAAACCACACGGGTTGTGCCTGATTGGTTTGAGATTGACTCCAAAGATCAAAAGTACCAGGAGGTCCCAGGTTCAAATCCAAGGAGAAATAAAAACCTCCTCGTGGCCACTGAGGTTCAAATGCGTTGACTTCGTGCTATCTGTAAAGCATGTGGTTGTCCTGAGATTAGTCGGCTCACATAACGGGTTGGATATCCAAGTTAATAAAAAAAAAAAAAATCCTTTGATTGAAACCATAAAAAAAGAACGAAATTCAGTTCCACTTCCATCCAATATACAAACGAATGTTGGATTCCAGTAAACAGTGAAATTTGTTAATATCAATGAAATTAAATTCTTTTTGTATTTCCATTTTGCAAATTAAACAAATCAACGAAATTGAAATCCTTCCATTCTACAAAATCATTAAGATTAGAAATAAATAAACAATTAAAATTTATCCTAAAAAAAGCTATTTTATTTGCAAACATTTTTTTTTGGCTTTTTGATTTTTTATAATTTTATAAAAATCAGATTTATCAGCTTATCATTTTTATCGAGGGATTAGCTCAAATGACTACTCTACTCATTCAAATTGGTTTTCTAACCATTTTTCTTACGAGTTGATCTAAATGTCACTACTTGCACAATATATATTGCGGATCTAGCTAAAAGACAAAAAAAAAAAAAAATTCAAATTCAACCAGTTTATCGTCGGAATTGCGATCTAGCCATCACAATTGTAGACCTGGCCATCGTAATTGCGTATCTGTATACTGCGAAAATAATGGCATTTAGGTCAAACCAAAAAAGAAATGGCTAAATAACCAATTTGATTAAATGAGATAGTAATTTAGTTTAGGGTAAAATGCGCAAAATAACAACTTACTTTTACAAATTTTCTTATTATAACAATATATTCTTAGTTTTTCTTATTACAACAATGTAATTTTAAAATATATTTTTTTTATTATGACACTGTACTTTAAAAAATTTACCCATTATATTTTTTCTTCCTATCGATTCCTAAAACCCCCCTCCTTTCCTTAAACTCTCAATTGCACACTCGTCCTCTTCTTAAACAATTTTTAAAAAAGAAAAAAAAAACTTTTTTACGATGAACTGGATGAAACAAATGATTTTTCATGAATATTTTTATTTGTGAAATAATGATTTTTACTAAACCTGTTTAATTTCTGGCATTATAATTTTTAGTAAACATATTTGATTAAATTTACAATGTTTAAATTATAAAAATATTAAAATTAAAAACACAATGTTGCAATAGAAATTGATGACATTATAATAAAGTAATTTTGAAAGTACAATGCCATAGTTAAAAATGTCATGTCAGCACTATCGTATATTTGGACAATCTAAGTGGACGATTAGGTGGCAAAGAAACCTGATATGATGAGTAAATTTAATTTAAAATGTTAACCAATGCTATAACGGGTAAATATTTGAAAGTATGATGCTCTAACCAAAAATATTTTGAAAGTACATTATTGTAATAAGAAAACCTGAAAATAGTTAGCTATAATAAGGGTGCGTTTGGTTTGCAGGATTGGAATGAAATTGGGGGGATTTGGATTTGAAATCCATTCCAATCCAGTGTTTGGTTTGCTGGATTGTGAGGATTTGAAATCCAAGGATTCCTTTGAAATCCCATGAACGATGGATTTAAGAATCCTTCCCTTAGACATGGGATTTTAGAATCCATTCCCGTGACCTACCCGTCTCCATCTTCTCCTCCATTTTTATCGCTCACCTCCGTCGCTTTCTCCCAGTCGTCTCCGTCGCCGTCGTTTCCCCCCGAGGTCGTCTCCGTCGCCGTCGCTTCCCCCCGAGGTCGTCGCCGTCGCTTTCCCTCGAGGTCGTCTCCATCGCCATGGCTTTCTCCCACCGTCGTCTCCATCGCATCCTCCATTTTCATCCCTGACCATCTCCTCCAGCCTCCAACATCGCTGTCTCCTCCAGCCTCAAACATCGCCGGCTCCGTAGCTTTCTCCCACGGTGGCCGTCTCAGGCCCCGTCGCTTTCTCCCACCGTGGTCGTCTCCATCTCTGTCGCTTTCTCCCACCATGTTCGACTCCATCGCCGAAGACAGGTAATTTCTACTTACTTCGATTTCTGTTACGACTTCACAATACGATTAATGCTCCGATTTGTACTTCAATTTCTGCATATTTTGTGACAATTTGTACTTCATATGTTGTTCCGATTAAGTTCATATGCTGTTCCGATCTGTACTTCATATGTTGTTACAAAAAAAAAAAAATCCAAATCCTGCAAACCAAACACAGGAATGGATTTTAAATCCAATCCAATTCAAATCCCATGGAATCCAAATCCCTCATGGAAATCCAAATCCCTCAAAAACATTCCTGCAAACCAAACGCACCCTAAGTGAATTAATAAAAATAAATTGTTATTTCAAGCATTTTATCTTGAATTTGAGTACTCTTTTTTATTTCTTTTTATTGGTGTAATTAAACTTCAACCTGCTCCTGGATGAATTGGGCTGGGAATTAGCAGAATCCAAACACACCTTAACATTCAACTCTTTCGTCATACCACTCCGTACCCTAAAGTCTGATTGATGGAAACCCTCGTGCGGTCACAGGCAGGGTCTGACAATCATCACACAGAAATCTCCGATACGTCGAAGCCGGAGGCTCAAACGACGCCGGAGAAAGTTGTCGCCTGTTCTCTGCCATTCGCCGCCGGTAAATTAATCTCTTTTTTTCTCTCCCCTCGTTCATATGTTCGAGTTTGAGAATGCAAGTACATAATTATTTGGTTTCTGATGATTTTAATCATATTCTCTTCGTTAACAAGTAACTAGTGAGTGAAATTAGGGGAATCCGGTGTAGATGAGTAGATCGTTAGGTAAAACGGTTTTTAAATATCTAACAGTGATCATGCGAGATTATTATGTGAAAATTAACAATATTTCGGCTAGTGGTTCGGTTCATAATGTTATGCGGTTAGAATGTAAAGAAAATTCATGTGTTTGATAGTTTGCTGGGCCAGGGTTTGAGTTCATTATGTTTCATTGTACTTCTGGAAGGGATTTTTATCTTATTTTTGTTGCCGATCATGTGGATGTTTATCTTATTTTTTTGTTGCCGATGATGTGGTTTTCTGCATACTTATGGCTACAATGGCTGCCTTCGGCTGAATTATAGTACAGTATATCGTACCATTCTTCCATCAAGTGTACACCTTTCAAAGCTTTGGGGGTTTCTTCTCTCGAAGATCAATTGCTGGAGAGGGATATGCGGTGTTAGATGAACTTCGTGAAAAATACAGCTTTCTATTTCTTTCTTAATAGAGCTATAAAGGATTTATGGTGCCCTTAAAAATGGAAGGGATAAACACCAAAGATCAAAACTAATACGCTAATTTACTATAAAATACCCAATTCGAATTTTGATTTATGAGCGTATTTTATTTCCTTCACATTGAACTCAACTATTACATTCCTAGAGCGGAGGAAGGATATAGCTGATAAGTCTCGCCGTGAGTTAGTTTTGAAGTTGGGGGCTGTGTCAATCTCAAGCTTCAACGTATAGTCAGAAATCCATCGCTCAACGCTCTTTTCAGAAAGTCGTTGCACATTTCTATAGGCCATTCCAAGTTATCCAACGTATCAGAGCAGTCACCTACAAGCTCCAGTTTCCCTTGACTGCTCGAATACACCCTGTGTTCCACGTGTCCCAACTTAAGAAAGTAATCAGTTAGCAGCAAGTTTTGCCTTTCTTACCCCCCAACTCTGAGGAACTGGAATTGGAAGTGGGACAAGAGTCATTGGTAGGAGTTTGATCTATGGATTCTAATGGAGAGCAACGAATGGAAGTGTTGTCAAAGGGGAAGGATTTTCCTGAATATGAGTCTATTTGGGAAGACTTGGCCACTATGCAGAACATTTTTCCTGCCTTCCACCTTGACGACAAGGTGGCTCTTTGGGGGAGGGGTAATCTTACATATCCACCAATTTATTTCACTTATAGCCGAAGGAAGAATCAGGAAAAGCCACGTAAAGAAGGGGGCCATCACAGGGGCACACGGGGTGTTAGATGTGGCTTTAATTGAATTAGTTTAGTTTTATTTTTATGTTTTCGCATATCTTAACTGTTTCCTATAAATAGTTGGATATCCTCATTTTGTAAAGTCTAGTCTCAATTCGTAATAAAAATCCTGCAATTTTCTCTACATAGCCTTCTCTAAATTCTCAACAAATTGGTATCAGAGCCTAGGGTTCCTCCCAATTGTTGATCGTTGAATCCCTTAGTCGTCTTTTTCTTTTGAATCGATAACCGCTTTCATGAATCGTCTTTCTGTGGACAATCGTTTGGGTCTTTCTGGTGTTCGATTCAAGGTGGAGTTTTCCTGGTTCTGAGATTGAAGGTGTGAATTAACGATTTCAGCAGTCAATTTGAGGAAAATCGGAGTCAACAGTCAAGTCGCTTCAGTTCATCGGTCCTTCAATCAATTTCGTCGTTGAAATATTTCAATTGGTGGTATCGTCTTGTGTCCAGCAATCGAACCTGATGTTTTTGATTTCTTGAATGATCGTTTTGGGGATCAATTTTCTTGGATTACCGATTTGGTGATTTCTAACAGCCAATTAAGAAATTGTCGACTCTTTTGAAGATTAGTCCGGATGTTTGTTCTTGATTACTCAGTTTCGAATCTTGTATCATAGTTCTTTCAAGATTTTCTGAAAATGCCTCCACAAATGATCAAAGATTGACAACTTTACAGGAAAGAACAACTTCAGCTTATGGAGAATAAAGATGAGACCTCTCCTAAACCAACAAGGCATTTGGATTCCCTTAGCTGGTGAAAGGTCTGAAGGGATGGCTGAATTTTAATTTGCACAACAAGATAAGAAGGCCCACTCTACTATCTTGTTGTCTTTGGCAGATGAGGTGATTTATGAAGTTGCCGATGAGGAGACTACTGTATCTTTATGGCAGAAACTAGAGAGCCTATACGTGACCAAGTCTTTAACGAACAAGTTGTTAAAGCAGAGGTTATTCTCATTACGAATGAAGGAGGGAATGCCTTTGAAGGAACATCTTGACAAGTTAAACTCCATTTTTATGGATTTGAAGAATGTTGAAGTCAAGATTGAAGATGAGGATGCTGCCCTCATCTTATTGGTTTCGTTGCCTACTTCATATGAAAATATTGTCAACTCGTTCGTTGTTGGTAGAGACACAATTACAATGGAAGAAGTTCGTTCAAGTTTGCACTCACGAGAGTTGCGACATAAAGCTTCAGGAAGTAGTTCCGAAATTCAATCGGTTGGCCTGTCGGTGGTAAATGGAGATAGATACAGAGGTAGAGATAAAAGCCAAGAGAAAGGAAAAGGGAAGTGGAAAATTAGAGGCCGATCAAGATCGAAGACTAGAGGTCTAAGTGGAAAACCAAGGGATGGCTGCCACTATTGTAAAGAACCGGGTCATTGGAAAAATGAGTGTCCAAAACTGAATTCCAAAGGATCCACTGCTGTAGCAAATGATGATTTGGGTTCGGAGGTTGATTTGGTGCTCTCGGTGGCTGATTGCAAAAGGTCAGATGTATGGATTCTTGATTCCGCGTGTTCATTTCACATGACACCACATAAGGATTGGTTTAAAACTTATGATAAGATTGCAACGGGAAATGTCTTGATGGGAAATGACGTGTCGTGCAGTGTTGTTTGAATTGGGTCGGTGAGCATTAAATTGCATGATGGGACTGTGACAACTCTAACAGATATTCATCATGTACCCGGGTTGAAAAAAACCTTAATCTCTTTGGGAGTGTTCGACTCAAAAGGCTTCAAGTACACCGGTGAGGGTGGAGTAATTCGGGTCACTAAGGGTGCATTAGTAGTGATGAAAGGAGTCAAGAGAGGTACCTTGTATGTGCTGGAAGGTAGCACGATTGTTGGATCAGCAGCACCAATCATTAGTTCTGTAGAGAATGAGTCAAGAAATGACACGTTTGTGGCACATGAGGCTAGGGCATGTTAGTGAGAAAGACATGGTAATTCTCAGCAAGAAAGGATTTCTTGGAGGTCATAGAGTTGTTGAATTGGGCTTTTGTGAGCATTGCGTCTTTGGAAAACAAAGGAGAGGGTGTTTTTCAAAAGCTGTCCATACAACCAAGTCGACTTTAGATTACCTACATGCTGATTGTTGGGGTCCCTCGCAAGTTCCTTCACTTGGTGGTGGTCGTTACTTCCTCTCAATTATTGACGAGTACTCTAGGATGACTTGGGTATTCATTATGAAGCATAAGAGTGAGTCATTTGAGAAAATTAAAGATTGGAAGGGTCTTATTGAAAATCAGGTTGGGAAGAAGATAAAGCGGCTGCGAACGAACAACAAATTGGAGTTTTGTTCAAGTGAGTTTGATCGGTTTTGTAAAGACGAAGGAATTGCAAGGCATCGAACGTTTAGGCACACTCTACAACAGACTGGAGTAGCCGAAAGGATGAATAAAACGTTGCTGGAAAGAGTGAGATGTGTGCTGTCAAATGTTGGGTTGGATAGAAGTTGTTGGGCAGAAGCGTTAAACACGGTTTGCTACTTGGTGAATAGATCCCCGACAACGACAATTGGCTGTAAAACTCTTATTGAGGTGTGGTCCGGTAAGCCGGCTGATTGCACGGGCTTAAGAATATTTGGTTGTCCTTCATACCATCATGTTAGTGAAGGAAAATTGGAACCAAGATCAAAGAAGGGGCTGTTTATGGGATACTGAATTGGAGTAAAGGGCTACATAATTTGGTCTCTTGATAAAAGAAAGGTGATTCTCAGCCGTGATGTAGTGTTTGATGAGGAGAGAATGTTACGTGGCGTGAGGTGTTCATCTACTCCAAGTGTTCAAGAGGAGAGTGTGTCCGAACAGGTGGAGTACGAGTTAAATGGTCCCAATGAAGACGAGAATACTGCTGGACAACGCAGTAACTCGCCTCAACCAGAACCTGTTGTACCTGAAAATCAGTACCAGCCTGCAGAATTTCAATCTGTAGCATTAGATAAGCCCCGAAGACAAGTTGGTAGGCCAATTCGATATGGGTTTGATGACATGGTGGCCTATGCTCCGGAAGTTGCTGAAGAAATGTTGTTCTTTGAGCCATCTACTTACAAAGAAGAAACCACAACGAAGGAGGCTGATGTGTGGATAACAACCATGAGTGAAGAGATGGAATCCCTTCACAAGAATAGAACTTGGGAGTTAGTAAAGTTACCTCAAGGTAGAAAAGTTGTGACCTAAGTGGATCTTTAAACAAAAAACAGGGCTGCCAGGAGCTGAAAGTGTGAGAAACGAGGCATGCTTGGTGGCTAGAGGTTGTAGCCAAGAGAAAGGAGTTGATTATAATGAAATTTTTCTCGCCGGTGGTGCGTCATACATCCATTCGGGTGTTGTTGGCACTAGTAGCACAAGCAAATTTGGAGTTGGAATAATTGGACATCAAAACAACTTTCTTACATGGTGAGCTTGAAGAGGAAATCTATTTGAGTCAACCGGAGGGTTTTGTAGCTCAAGGTAAAGAAAACTATGTTTGTAAGCTCAAGAAATTGCTTTATGGTTTAAAGCATCCCCAAGACAGTGGTATAAACGTTTTGACAGCTTTATGGTGAGTCGTGGATTTACATAAGAGAAATTGTATATATCATAAGAGAAGTGCTGATGGGTCACATGTGTACCTGCTACTTTATGTGGACGATATGTTAGTAGCGGCTCGTGATATAGCTGAAACTTTATTTGAGTCAACTGGAGGGTTTTGACAGCTTTATGGTGAGTCGTGGCTTTAATTGAATTAGTTTAGTTTTATTTTTCTGTTTTGACATATCTTAACTGTTTCCTATAAATAGTTGGATATCTACATTTTGTAAAGTCTAGTCTCAATTCATAATAAAATTCCTGCAATTCTCTCTACATAGCCTTTTCTAAATTCTCAACACGGGGATTGTTAATGATTCTGTTGGATAGGGGCCGTAAAGGGAATAAGTTTTTGCGTGCTTAGAATAAATAGAGGTGTTTGGTGGGGGGAGGATATCGATAATTTTGGTAGTCATGTCAGGGAAAGACTAGCCTCTCGAATAGCTAGGTCTTAATTGTTTTCGTTATTTGTTTACCTTGAATCTGGCCGATCAATCTTTCTTTGCTGTTCATTGTTTTAGTTCAAGTAGTTGATAACAGATGGGTTAGTTATTTAACATGTTTGGTTTGACCAAGACACAGTTCTCCCCTTTGTAATAAGCTGTTTTTGCTTATCGTGTTTTTCAAACCTTGCTTTATGGTGACAAATTATCCTTAGATCTCACATATGTATCGTGTCCAACATAAGATGGCCAGACGTGTCCAACAATAAAAAATTCCTATTTTAACTGGAAAATTATAACAATTCAATTTAATGGTCAAATCTGTGTCTCTAGTTTATGATTATAACGTCACTTCTATATTCTTTCGTGTTTTTAGGTTTAAAACCACATTTGTTCTACAAGTGTCTTCTCAATCAGCATGCTCAAAAATTCAGGAAAGATCTCCCGATCTTTCAAACTCATAATGAAGGATTTGCACATCTACCAAAGTTCAGATCCACTGTTTGGTTTGATGGTATGAGCTACACATCTTCAAACACTTTTCAGCAGCGTAAGGCGGCTGAGATGGATGTGTCCAAGACTGCATATTTTGCCATAATGCAGAAGTCAAAGAATGATGCATTACATCTTATTCTCAAGGTTTGATGTTTACTTATTGAAGGAAAATTTAATTGGCCACATGGATTTTTAGTGTCAAGCATAACGCCTTCTTGTTTCCAGAATTTGTGTGTTCTGTGTATTTATTGAATAATCAATCATAGCTCACGGGAACTTTATCTCCACTTGTAAAATTTAACAGTAATCTTATTTATATGTAGTGCAATCATGTAATTGTTGGACACATGCAAATGAAATGAAAAATACGAGGTGAGCATTATAGACCATCAGTCTAGGACCTGTCGTGTTGACAATACTACGGTTTGTAATAAAGAATCAACAACCTGCGAATTGTTAGGTTCTCGGTGGCAGTGTAGCAGTTTGAAACTCACTGCATTGCATCATTTGAGTCATCTCACATAAATACCTATCGAGTGAATACAATGTTAATAAGGATTTGTATCATTTGGCTGGAACTTGGAATAAAAATAGAAACATACAATTGGGGAAGATGCACCTTACCCATTAAAATCTGACAAGGGATGTTGATAATTTCCATCTATTCAAGTTGCCAACTTCACATCACATCATGTCTTATTAAGTTTCTCGGATGCCCTTTTTTAGGTTCCACACATATTGCTTTGAGCTGTTCGAAGGCTAGGTCTTCATAGCTCGTATGCTTATGGTCTTTTATTATGCACCAATCTACTTTGAAGCTTTTGCTGCTGAATAACTGTAAGAAGCATGATAGGTTCCCATCTTCTTCTATGATCTTAAAGGTGGATGGATCTTTAATCTTACTGTAACTAAGCATTTTTTGTGGCATTTTGCATACGATGTGGGGTAATAAACTCTATAATTAGAGATGCGTTTTACTTTATTTTTTCATTTCTTAGATGAAAATGGGGTGCCTTTTCAAGTAATTCTTTCTTTCAAGGTAACGTTTCTCATTAGTTCCTGCTGTTATCCAGGATAAAACCTTTTGCAAGTCTATTCTTGTCGAATATGCAGCTAAGATGAATTTAGGAAAACCCACCTATGAAACAGCTCAACTGGACACATCGGTTCCTGTTTTTCGTTCTTCTTTGGTTTTCAATGGTGTTACTTTTCAAGGAGATAGTGCCAAAAACAAGAAAGAAGCTGAACAATTGGCGGCACATGCAGCTATTCTAAAATATTTAGGTATTTTGCCAAACCTTAGATGTGCTGTAATACTTTCCATGTAAGTTGACAAGGAATGGTTAGATATTGGGCATTATACTCTTTCCAGTTCTGCCATTTCTCTTTCTTTCATGTCCGTACTTGACTTTTTCTCTTGTCTACTCATATATATCATTGTAATGTTTATGTTACTAGCAGATTCTGAATCAGGAAATGATCTCTCGGAGATAATTAATTGCAAGTTCAGGCATTATGTTGACATGAATAAAGTTCGGGAAATCAACAATGTTCACAATGACACGAGTGTTGTGGGAACACAAATGATAGTTGACAACGCCATTGGTCTAAATGAGGCTAAAACCGAGTTAGGAACCACCAAAATGCCTGAATCATCTGCTTTTCTGCTTCCAGTCGTAACTCAATCACCTATTCCCAAAGTATCCAGTGAGGCAATCACTCCAACTGTTCCGGGGCCTGCACTTTTGACACAGACCCCATCTGCTGAGATCAATAATTCATCTCTTTCCTCTGTAGTATCAGCAGCACCATGCTTGGGGAAATTTGCCAGTACTCCGGCACCAGGTCTTTCTTCTAATGTATTCCAACCAATAAATTCAGAAGTATCACTTGGGACTGTCGTCCCTCCACTTCCATTGGCTTCTCAAGCTCTGGAGCACCTGCCATTCGTTGGTCATACTTTGGGGAGGAAACGAAATCGCAAAAACAAAAAGAATGCCCAAAAGAAAATGCGTGTTGATGCTCAGTAAGTGTTATCTTTGTCTCTGGATGTAGCTCTGATGTTGTCATGCAAATATAATCTTGATTTTGACCTTAGGTCCTATTAGAAGGGTCATTTGGTTAAATGACCTTCTGGAAGGAAAATTTTAAATCCATGACGTTCTGACAGGTTTAAGAATGTCACTGCTTAACAAGAGAATACCACTTTCAAACACAAGAATGACTAGAAAACTGTTGGAAGCCCATGGTTTAATAAGCACGTATCAGGAGGTCTTTTAGCTGAATAACCATAAACCATATTAGAAGTGGCCTTTTTGGATCGTATTTCTGACCTTTGTCTGGACATTCTGTTTACTTACTTTGCACCTGGCTCCTTTGAAGCAGTGCCCCAGTAATATCTGTAATAATAGAAACACCTATGCCATTATACTGTTGCATCGCCGCTTTATTAGCTACTTTTTGTTATTCTTTCTGAATCAAATTAATATCGTATATTCATCAAACTTAACCAATAACTGTTGTGTAAGTGGGCTATTGGCGTAACCCAACACGACCATTCTTTTTGAATTATGCCCCCATGTAAATTGCAGATTCATAATTTAGGAAGACATACTATAAAACTCTTCCTTGTATCTCTAATTTTCAGGATGCCAATACCTGCAGTTACGAGTGCAGTTCCACCATGTTCGTCACAATGAGCAGCTCGATTCTGTGTATTTTTGGAAGGTGAGCAATGCTTTTTGGGAACGAGGTCTTAGTTCTGAATGGTATGTTATACTCCCTCAGTCCCAAAATAATCGGCACACAATTTTAGAAATGTGTAATTATTGTACTTTTTAATCAACTAAGGGGCTTTTACCAAACGCTTACCCGGTAAGAGCTTGCCAAATCACATTACCTTATCGGATGAACATGGTAAAGACTGAGAATCTTACCCGGTAAGAGCAATAGCAAGGACCAAGAGTCTTACTCGGTAAGTGAGGGTGATGACTCTTACCCTGTAAGCGCTTACCAGGTAAATTGTTGCATACGATGCCATTTTTATGGACTAAAATTTTACTCGATACGGTAAGTAAAAGTGTTGAATCTCGGGCAAGTGTTTGGGTAAACGGCCCGTAAGTGACAATATTGGCCTTAATATTAGAGAGTAATGAATTCCTTGTTTCTCCGTCTCATATTTAAAGGTGGAATTGGAAAGTAGACACTTTAAAAAAGTGTACAATTTATTTTGGGACAAACTAAAGCTGAAATGGCACTTTTTTGGGACGGGGAGTATATTAGTTTTCCCTTAATTTAAGGGTTTAGGTAATTTATTGAATGGGAACAATACAACAAAGATTGATTTAGTTTCTATTAAGTGTAACAAATAATTGTTTTTCTTAATTAATGTAACGAAGTTTCAACAAAACTTATTTTGTATTTATTTTGACAGGTAGGCTACTGATCCTGTAATATTTGATGACATGGATACCCCTTTACAAAAGGGTTTACAACAAAGTGGACAATAAACTTAACATCCATGTCATCAAATGTTACAAGATCAACAAGTTACTGGTCAAAATGAGTAGTTATTTTGTTAAAAATTCTTGCACTAAAAAATCAACTAAGCCCACCTTCGTTGCATTTTGATGCATTCTGCCCTTTCTAATACCCAAACAATTACGTTAAACTATATATCAAGTCGATACAGCATGATTAAGGATCATTAATTGGTTAAATACGTCGTTTTTTTGAAATTTACATAATTGATTAAATATGTCGTTTTTTTTTAAAATTTACAGGAAGTTTCTTCGCAGTATTTCTTAGAATCAGCTCCTGGGGTGTTCGAAGCTGTAACTTGTGCTTATCTGCACCTTCTTTTTAGAACAAATTGCTGGATTTTAGTTACTGCTGCTTGATATGTGCAGATGTTGGTAGTTTAGGCTCTAGTTTGTTACAATTACATATGCTGTTCATGACATCCGTTCCATTTTGATGCGGAAGATAAATGCTTGCGGATACCCGAAACTTTTATGCGGGTTCAAGAAAAGTCATGAAATCACTTCTGATGATGCAGGTATTGCATTTTCAGCTTGGAACTGTCGGGTTTACATTGTAATCCGCAGCCTCAACAGCTATGAACTCGTCTTAAACCGTGTCGTCTTTGTGACCATATGCCTAGACTTTCTGTGCAAAATGAATCTCGAATGATTAGCAATCATCAGATTACTGGTATTTGGATCGGGGAAGAGGGATTAACTCTTCAAATCAGTGTATCTGGTTTTGTTGCAAACCAACCGTTATTCTTTTAAAAACTAAAAAATTAAACATCGAGCCATTTTCGATAAGAGGGTTGCAACCGCTTGTCGTGAAAATGTGAGAACGAAGTGAAATGTATCATTATATTGTGTAGTCTTTGGAGTTTCAGTTGCGGTCATATTCATCATTGTAGGAATTGAGTTCAAGCTTTGAGGCTCGGTGAAATAGACATGTCTGTGGAGATGGAACTATGAATATATTTTTATTTTCATTTTTTTTATTAACCTGGATATTCAATTCGTTATGTGAACCGATTAATCTTAGAGCGATCACCTGCTTTGTATTTTAATGTTCTATTTTATTATTTGTCTTTGTCGACGTAATAATACGATTTTATGTGTTTTTAAGAAAACAATAATGATTTTATTTTTTAATAAAATATAAATTTGAAAAAAAAAATATCAATGTTAATAAATCAACTATTTAAAAGTTCTCTTTTTATTATAATTTAATTTAAGTTTAATAACGAAATAATTTATTTTTGATTTAATAATATAACATTTTATAAATATAATAATTAAGTATTTTGTTAGAACTCAATGATTATCCTAATTATATTTTAGATTTTTTATATTTAAAATGAGATGTTTATCCTGTATTTAATTATGTTTATCTGCAGTTAGTTACACGAATTCAGATATGAAAATTTAATAAGTTGTACTTACACACAATCTACTTGCAATCTTGAATTTTAATTAATATGCATTAATAACAGTACTTTACGCATAAAAAATGGTTTTTAAGAGTTTTTGTCAAATGCTTTATAATATAGTATAAATATGAATAAACATAAAAGTGTCAACAACACATATTCTATCTAATTCATATTTTTTTAAATATATAATTAATTATTTTATTAGAATCATTCAATACATTTTTGTTATCCATAAAATAAAAAATCAAGATTGTGTTGGCAGCTCCGTGGATTATTTATCGACGTTCTGTAAACAACTTTTCAAAGGAAAGCACATTTATTATGTCAATGACACCAAAATGATATTAAATGAATAGAATCGGGTCTTTTGTCGAAATGTAATAATTTTTTTATTTATTATTTATCATCAATTAATATTAATTACTATTTATTTATATTAAAATTAACAAATAATAACTAATAATGAGGGTTATAAAAGGAAAAAAAAAACACAATAAACTTCCAAAACATTACTGTAAGTAGCGTCTTAATAAGGTAGCTTATAACGTATACCCAAAAAATAAGTTAGCTTACAAAACAATGTCTAAAAACAATGCATTTTATCAACTCTTTTGATAATTTGATTTTTAGGGGCTGTTTATCAAACACTTATCCGGTAAGTGTTTAACGATAAAATTTAACAATAATATGTACTTATCAGGTAATATTTTAGTCCACCAAAACAACATCGTATGCAACAATTTACCCAGTAAGTGCTTACCATGGTAAGAGTCGTCGTCCTCACTTACCGGGTAAGACTCTTGGTCATTGTCTCGCTCTTACCGGGTAAGATTCTTGGTTCTTACTATATTCATCCGATGAGGTAATGTTACTTGGTAAGTGCTTACCCGGGTAAGCATTTGGTAAACGGCCCCTTAGTCTTTAATCCTTTTTTAGCTTATTTTTTTAACCTTTTTTTTATACTTCTCTTTTATTTACCGTACTTTTTTATTTTGTCTTATATCATATTCATATCGATTAATCATTAATTAATATTTCATCTATCTCAAAATAAATGTTTATAATAAAATTGTCATACAGTTTAAAAAAATGTATAATTAATATACTTTTTATTAACTAAATGACAAATTCACTTGTAATAGGAATAGGGGTTGTTATTTATGTAATCTAAAAAATTTCTTACCCCTTCTCAAGGTTTAAAATGGAGTGATGTGTGGCGTGGCGGCGAGGTCAAGTCTCAAGCTGTAACACCCTCAGCATCACATTTGCATATAACCAAGTATTTCATATATCAAGAAATACAAATATACATATTCGGTCCCAAAAATACAAAAGCTACATTATAAAAGTAGTTATCAAATTTTTCCATAACATCTCTGTACATAAATTGTATATAAAACAAGTATTTCAAAAAAGATCTCAGATAAGCATGCTCTCCTCCACATCCCATGTAAAGCATATATAACATCTCAAAATTTCCCGTTTCCATTATCCTTAGATTGAGTCTCACATATAATGCACTTTTTGGAAAACACACAAAATGAGAGTTAGACATTGAGATCTAGTGAGAAATCCCTTTGATGCAATTACATGGTGAAAATCACCAAATCAAATTATAAATTCATATCGTAATACCAATTGTTAGGACCAAAATTGTCCTAAATATCAAGAAAGATTTTATTAAAAAATTTGGACATTTATATTGGGATTGAGAGAGTAATATATCAACTCAACTGTATCACAATATATTTACGGGAATTTCTGAATAAAAAAGAAACTTTTTTTAACGTAGTGTTAAACCATAAGTTAGAGGCTGTTTGTTTACATCTTAATAGTTATATTAATAGAAAGTCTATAAATCACTAAGAAGTGAATCTTGTTTGGCTAAAAAAGGCTGTCTCTTAATAGTTCTAAAATCCTCTGAATGATTTTGTATCTTGGGTCTCCCTTAACCATTCAGCGCCCTAATTTCACTCTGGATAATTACCAAACAAATTATATTTCATTTTGCACTATATTATAAGAGTCTCTTAATCATTCTGACCACTTATCTATAGCAAACCATTCAGCAACTGTCAAACAACCTCTTAAGAACTACAATCAGTTGACTTCAAGGGAGGAGAGAGAAAATACGTTAGGGGTCATATATGTAGCTAGGTGTATGGATTCTTTTTACGAGTATTGAGTAGCAACCTCGGATAGCAACACCCTAAAAAACAAGTAGAATGGTTAAAAGTTGTTGCCTTGATGGATGACGTTGTTTCCTACTAAATAAACATAGCTGTTATGTACTACTACTATATACTATATATGGAAAGAATGCAATGCTAGATTTCATGTGCATTCTCTTCGAATAGTCTTATTGTTACTAAGGATAGAGTATTGACGATACAAAACCTGACTCATCAATCTTTTCCTTATCGTGAATTACGATAAGTGATGTCAATGGGACGGAAATGAGATGATTTACTTATCGTATCGTCTTTTCGATACAACTACACTGTTGTTCATTTGTAACATCGCAAGCTCAAATTAGTAAGCCAGCCTTATTACTTTCAACTCAACTTAAAACTGTAATGGAAGTTATTAGTATCCCATATTTGTTAGCTTAAAATGAGGTCAAAAATCTAAATTTCAATCCATGTTAGGGGTGAGCATAGGCGGGTACCCGTCCTATTTGACAGGACCCGGAACCGGCGGTTCTTGAGATATTGGAAGCGGAACCGGTTAGAGCTGTTCTTGAAGTTTTGGAACCGGAACCGGAACCGCCTCGGGTACTCACTTCCTAAAATATTAAAATTTTGTTATATAGAAAAAAAAAATTAAACATTGCCAAAACACTAAATAAATAAACAAGAATACAAATTATACGGAATAATGGTTACAAAAATTGTTTAATGATTATAAACCATAATAGACTAATAGTAAATGTTGAAAGTTTAACGATTACATACTATAATTGTAAATGTTCAAAGTTTAACAATTACATACTATAATTCGATTTGAAGACGGTCCGTGAGAGGCCTCAGGCTGAGAGTATGAGTCGATGAGACGGGACCAAAAATTTAATCTAGAGTTCTAAGTCTTTGACCTAATTTAAATTTAGTATTAAAAAAATAATTAATTTTTTAATTGAAAAATACCGGGTACCCGCCGGTTCTGGATACCCGGTCCCGGAACCGGTTCCGACGGGTAACAGTTCCGAAAAATTGAGAACCTGAACCGGAACCATTCTCAATCGGTTTCGTATTTTAGGAACCGGAACCACTCATATCGGTTCAGGTTCCGCAACCGACAGTTCCAAGGCAGTTCTGGTTCCACAAGTGGGTACCCGGTTCCATTGCTCACCCCATGTAGGATAAAGATGGCCAAAAATCGGTCACGGTTCAAAATTGGGACAGTCGGTTCCGAACCAAAGATACTAAGACCGAATATAGGCCTGGTCCCAAGCCGATCCTAGTTTAAAAGGGGATATTTTTACTTGAAATATATTGAAATGCTTGAAATTTTTGAAAAAGGAAGAGTAGAAAATCTTGTAATAAATCTAGAAAAAACTTGTATTATAATTAATAAAGCTTACAAAAATTGAAAATTCAGTCCTATACGTAATCGGTCCCAGATCTAGTTTTGAAATTCCCTAAAATTTGTAGTCGAACCTAAACATCAGACAATAACTAATCCCTACCGAAACCAATCGTTGCCGGGTTGGTCCAATGTGATAACCGGTTATTCGGTTATGAAGTTCGGGATAGTTTTTGAATTATGGTGGTGAGTTAAAAGGGTTGATTTGGTTAAATGTTTGAATACTTTTAAAACATTCCACCGCCTCAATTGTTTAATATGGTTATGATGAAATATTTTAAATTATCTCATAAGGGTTCTGATAAAAGTTGGTGAACTCTGAAGTAAAAACAAAATAGGTTTTCTGTGTGTGTACTTTGAGCTTGAGAAATCAGAACTGAGAAGAGAAAGCAAGTAAAAACAATTTTATGTTATTCTTGTCTTGGATTATTTGTTGTTGTTGTTGTTATCTGCATATTCATATCTTGTGATCATAATGTGAGTTTAATTTTACAAACTTTCCTTATTTGGAAGCTGGATGTAGAACAGTATGGTTCTTTATATGAGTTGTTATAAAACTATTTTAGATGCCATAATTGGCAGCATTGTGGGACCTTAATATGTTTATATCATGCGTTGGAATAAGAGTGACATATCAAATAGAGGTGTATTTTGGGTATAAGGGTGATATATCAAGGAGAGGTGTATACCAGGATAAGGGTGGCATAATCATAAGTTATAAAATCTGGGTTTTGATCAA